AGAGTATAGTTAAATTGATGATTAAAGAGAGAAAACAGTACCTAACACTGTTGAGCAATGAGAGAAACACTGTCTAGTGAGAAGTGATCATACTTTTTAATATTTCTCACATGAACTTGGCTGATATATATGAACTTAGATAGCAATTCTTGCTTAAAATTTGATGAACGCAGTGTGATTGCAATGATGAGTAATTGGATGAACATCTTAAATGAAAATTATGTAGAAAACACAGAACTGTAAATTGCAAATCTTACAAAAACAGTTTGTGAGATCATTCTTGAAGAATAGAGGAATTACCCTTGGTTTAATTTGATTTGCTTGAGGATAAGCAAAAATTCAAGTTTGGGGTAGTGATGAATCCATATTTTTACTGATATTTTAGCATAATTCTAACACATTTGATAAGAAAAATATATAAAGAAACCAGAAAAACTCAGAAAAAGAGAAGGAATTGAAGTTTTGTTTAAAGTTGTAGTTATTTTAGCAATTATGGAATTTTTGATTAGGAATTAAGTTTTTAATCTTGTTTTTGAAGGAATAATTCGAGCAAGGTTCATGTGAATGGAGGCTTGATGACAAGGAAGAGGAAAGAAATAAGTCTGGACTCCAAAAACACAAGAACAAGAAAATGCAGAATGGGCGTGATCACTATTGTTAGTGAAAGTGATCACTCTAGAGTTCAAAGAAAGAAGAAAGCCTGGGCGTTATCACTTTTATCAGTAAAAGTGATAGTTCCAGAGAGGCAAAATATCAGGAAAGCCTTGCGTAACCACTATTGTCATCGAAAGTGATCGTTCCAGAGAGCCTTCATCTTGGCGAGTTGCGCGTAGTCACTTTTATTCATAAGAGTGATCACGCGCAACTACTTGGGTTCTGCGTTGACACTTTTATCAGCAAGAGTGATAGTTCCAGAGAGCTCTCAATATCAGGAAAGTTGCGCGTGGCCACTTTTTCTCATAAAAGTGTTAACGCACAACCATAAACCCTATGCGTAGCTACTATTTCTCATAAAAGTGATGACGCACAAATATGAGAAATTCTATACATACCAGAAACGATCAAGAAATGAGGGATTCGGTTCATTTTCAATTTTGTTAGTTAGATTCTCGTTGGAGGAAGTGAGAGAGAGGAGTGGGGAGTCAAATCTTGGAGCTTCACGAAGAGACATTGGAGTGGAGCACGTTGCAATGGTGATTCCGATTTTCTCCTTCTCTTCTTCTCTTTCTTTTCTTTTCTCTGCTGCCATGGCTGTGTAATTTGTTCATAGTTAGGGATTGTAGATCTGAAACGAACATGTTGAATTAATTTTGGATCTGAATTTCAAGCTTTGGAATAGATTGAGTGATTGATTCTGCATTTTACGTAGTAATTGAATGGAAATTTGATTAACTAATTTCAGAGGAACTCTTGTCAATGGAAATTGAAGTTGTTCTTCAGATCTGAACCAATCACCGAGATTATAGTTTTCTTAGGGATAAGAGACTTTGATCTTGCAATCTTCTAGTTTTTTACACTTAAAGCAACATTGAATTGAATCAGATCTAAGGAATTAGAATGACTTAATTGAATGTTAGGTTCACTGAGTTAAGGAATTAACCTCTGAATAATATAACGTGAAACTGATTGTCATTCTTTCCAATTGCTTGCTAATTCAGAACCTTATTGATTAAACATTGGAGTTTTGGTGAAGCAATTCCCTAGCTATGGTTTCTCTCCCTGTTATCACATAATTGTTTGTTCATTGTTTTGTTTTCTGCAAGTTCACTTTACTCCTAATTGTTCTGAATTGATGTTATTACATGTTACAACTTTTCTTCTGAATTTTCATGGGTCAAATGGTTATATTTCTATGAAGTGATACTTGAATCTAAATTCCCTGTGGAGACAATACTTGGATCTTAAATTTTACTCATTACTTGCTGCAATCCTAGTGCACTTGTTAGTATTTAGATTGCAAACAACAAGTTTTTGGTGCTATTGCCAGAGAAATAGAAACCATTGAAAAAAGAAACCAAAAAGGAAAGGAGGGATGAAATAAGGGAACCAAGCCCTAAAACTCACCTAGATCTGTATTAGGTAGAGGTTCTCACTTGGATCTGGAAGAAGTTTGACTTTGGGAGGGTTCTCTTTGAGTGAAGAGTGTGAGAGAACGGAGGGGAAGTGAGAGGGAATAGTGATTTGATGAGAAATGAGAGTTTTCAGCTCAAAACCCCCTTAAATACCCCTCAGTTCACGATATTCTCACTACAACGAGATATACCAGACAATAAACCCTTATGTTGTCTGTCATTTTTCTTACAGTGAGAACCTCTTCGCTACAGCGAGGCTCTCTCGCTGTAGTGAGAGAGCTCCAAAATGCCTTGTTCTGGATTACCCATTCTTGCTACAGCGAGAGGCATCTCACTGCAATGAGTTGTCTTAAAACCTAACATCAACCAAAATCCTCCAACTCACACAATATGCATTAAACTTTTACTCAGTAACCATACAGCTTATACACACATAATTTCAAGCCATCTTACACCACAACCATCATACGACATCACACCTAAAACATAAGGACGTCGTAGTTAAATAAATACATCATTCATTCTAAAAGAAAATAGGTATACACCCAACATAGGCCTGACAATTTTGGGTTCCTTGTTATGATTATATGTTTTAAATTATTCCTTTATTCTTTAGCCAGGAATTTTTTTTAAGGACAAGCAAATTTCAAGTATAAAGGGTTGATAAGTCCATATTTTGATATGTTTTATGACTTATATTTATATACTTGGAACTTATTTTGTGGGTGTTTCACCAGTGCATTATAGGAATATTATGAGCAAAAATCAGACAATTACAATTGATCCCACAGGAGATCAAGGCCATGCTTCACACTTGACATAGGTATGCTTTGTTATCTAGCATAGTTATGTTGGATGATGATGCACGACTATGCTGAACAGATCTGTGTTTAAAGCTTAAATTTAAATTTTAAACTTTGCGAGAGGTTTTATCTAGATTCATATTTGAAATCTAATTGTCTGTTGAGATTTTCATGGTGGAAAAAACCAATTTCTGTTCAAAAAGATAAAGCTCAGTCGCAGTGCATCAAGTGACAACTAGGAAAATCAATACACACCTTATATAAAAAGACCTTATGCTCCTGAAAGAAAACAACTTCTATACACACCATCTTCTTCCCCTAACTTCTAACTTAATCAACCATTGAGAATTATTGGAAATCATTGACAGAGATAACGAGCATTCCTCTGAAGTCCATGCGAATGATTGAGTGTCCCTTTTAAGCCTTTTCAGTTTGAATTTTCCTTTGTGTTTATGGATTTGATTGTCATGTTTTTCATTGTTTATTTTGTTATGGGTAGCTAAATCCATAACTAGGCTTGTGACAGATCTCATTGCACATTCTATGTAATCTTCATGTTTAATAATAATGTTGGTTTCTTTTCATGTTTAGCTTTTGTCATACTGAATTGAACTTTGCATGTTTTCTTTTTATGTTTAGTTTTTATACTATTGAATTAAACTTCGCATGTTAAGAACTGATCACCTTTAGCACTCATAATTAGTTGCATCGTAGGCAGTCGTTCCACATGTAATTAATGAAACTATAGGATAAAACAGGACAAGGGGTTAAGCGGATCAAATTTAATTCTTCTCTTCCAATTGTTATTAAATTAACAAATCTGTAGGCTCTTTATGTTTTCTCTACATTTTGCCTTGCAAGATCATTAGATTAATTTCCTAAAGAAAAGAATATTAACATTGCATGATCATTGGGGTGTTAATAGGTAAAACTATATGCCCTTAGCTCTTCTCATTCAATTTCTATAAAAAACTACTTATGTGTCTTTTCAATTACTCTGAGTTTAAATTCTTCTTGTTTTCAATTTATTACGCACCCTTTTGAGTTTAAACAATTAAATTAAAATGTTCTTTAGTACTTAAAAATAATTTCTACAAGACAATAACTTAGAAAATTAATTTTAAACCCTTTATTACTTTTCAATAAATATACTTGTCTACAATTCTGAAATTTACTTAAACTTGTTTGATACTTAAAACATGTTAATCAAGAGGAGTTTTTGTGCAGTACAGTAGAAAGCTAATCCCTCTTAATCCAAGTCCCTTTTACACATTTATTTATAACCTAATTTACTACGCAATTGTCTAAATTTTAACACCAAATTTTAAATTTAAACTTCACAGATAATGAGATGGGTTCAGAGTTTTATTTAAAAGAACCAGAAAAGAAAACCTAAACATATATATTTTTCGTTCCCAAACCTAAACTTATCTTCATCGAGGGAAACCTATCCCGCCTATATATTTTTATTTTATAGAAAAACCAAGTTACTTATACACTTTAAATTAAATTATATGTTAACTGCATTTTAATTTAAATAATATATAAAAATTATTTTAAAAAAACTTTAAAACTACATAATTCTTTAATGTGTGTAATGTAGTTTTTTATATAATTATTAATTTAAATTATTTAACCATTTTAATAATTAAAAGAAGTGCGACTATGTATACACATACTCTTCCTCACTTTTGTAAATTTAATTGAAGAAAAATTAAATTTAGTCGAAGATTTTTTTTCCCATCAAACTCAAGTTGGGATCATATTACTCGAAAAATTGGATTTAGCTTTCGTGTCTAATAATAATGGTTATAGTTGCAACCACTAGCTAGCAGATACCAGAATCGCGATAGTAACAATATGATATATGGCTTGACCGAGGTAACGAAGTTTACTTAGTGGTGATGGTAATATTTATTATTACACGTCTTTTAAGAAAGATGACACTTTTTTTTTTTTGGCAGCTAAAATAAGTTAACCTAATTTTTCATGATCTACCATTTAACTTATGCTTAGTAACTTCTTGAGTTTTCTTATATCTACTGCTTACTAATTAAATTTTGAAAAGTAATGAAGTAATATGGAGTACGTGATGCTTCATAAAATACAAATAATAGTCTTCCAAACCATTGCATGCCTCGTTCATTTAACTTTTAGCATACATACAACAATATTATACTGCAATTTCACTAGTTTGTAATTAAGCATCCTCGTACTCATATTTTATTCTTGTTACTATTATGGTTAGGAGGAGCTGAGTATTCTCTTTTTAATATTGAATTTCGTGTTAAGCTCAAGGGTAATATCCACCATGTCCGCCGCCTTCACCACCACCAGAACCACCTCCATATCCTCCTCCATGTGCACCTCCACCACCGTAGCCCCCGCCGCCACCACCGCCAGAGCCACCACCGCTACCGCCAGCTGCCCCACCACCATATCCTCCACCTGCTCCTCCACCACTACCATATCCACCTCCATGGGCTCCACCAGCACCACCACCCCCACCGCTTCCACCGCCACCTCCGTATCCACCACCATGTTCTCCACCATATCCACCACCAGCTCCTCCTCCTTCCCCACCTCCATAGCCACCACCAGCACCTCCTGCACCTCCCCCTCCACCTCCTCCACTGCCACCTCCACCACCACCAGCATAACCACCTCCACCATAACCTTCCCCGCCTCCTTTACCAGCTCCTCCACCATAACCACCACTAGCACCCCCAGCACCACCACCTCCACCCCCTCCACTGCCACCTCCGCCACCACCAGCATAACCACCCCCATGTGCTCCACCTTCACCGTAGCCTTCACCACCTCCTTTACCTGCACCTCCTCCGTATCCACCACCTTCAACACTACCGCCACCACCACTTCCTCCACCACCACCATGGCCCCCACCAGCAACACCATATCCTCCACCTGCACCTTCACCTCCACCAGCTCCTCCTCCATAACCACCTACGCCATGCTCTCCCGAACTTCCATATCCTCCACCTCCACCTGAACCTCCACCCCCACCATAACCTCCTGCACCAATTCCAATCTCACCGTGCACACCAGCACCAATGCCGTGATCTAAACCAATGGAGATGAGTGTTCTAGCGGCGGAGCAAATGCCTAAACATAATACCACAAAGAAAACAATGCTGACAACTCTCGAAGTACCCATATGGGAAAGTGTTGAAATCCCACACTAAGATTTTAGGATTACAAGACGGGTATATATAGGAATTGTATTGGGCCAATGGGGGAGTGCAAAAGCGCGTTTTTGTGCTGTCCTACGTAACAAGATGACACAGAGTAAAAAGATTTTACTAAAAACTTGCTGCTGTAGAGCACCTTAGAATTTCTTTGTGCCGAATGTGGACCATAGCACGTGCAGAGAAGAGAATTTTAATTGTCCCCACAAGGTGATCCCATACAAGTATACACACACTTAACACTACTAGCTAGAGCCACTAGTGTGCTTTTGCTGTCACCCATTAATTTGATCTTATTCTCATCGTGATGATCCAGAGCTTGTTATTATAAAGTATGAACCTAATTTCTAGTATGAGAAAAAAATTCCCATTTCGTATTTTGATGGATTTCCGACTCATTCACTGATGTATTGATATTTGCATCTTAACTGCTTGAATTTAAAACAATAAACAATAAAAAAAATAGTTTTGATTAAAATGTTTTTATCTTAAATTATTTGGAGAGCCCACTAACACCATAATAATTTATTTATTGAAAATTATTTAGAAACAGTGACAGAGCTTGATTGATCATGTTGAGAGTGAAAATAATTCATATAGTCAAAATATGATACATTCTGCATGTACACATTATTTATCTGCGAGAAATTTATTTGTTTATTTTATTTATTTAAAATTTAAAATAATAATTATAAGAACAAGACAAGTTTGGACTAACAAATTTAGTCTCTTAATCTATCGGGAAAGCTTGCTAACACAAAATGTAAATACATTTAGTGAAATGTAACTAAAGAAGTGGCGGAGCATAAATGGTTATATTAATCATTATTAAATGTTTAAACTCAAATTAATCACTAAGGACAATCAAATGCCATTTCTAATATTTTGTATAACACATGATAAAGAATGCTTGTTTTTTTCATCTAAATTATATGTATATCTTATTAGATGCAATTTTGTTTGAATTAGATACCAACATTATATTAGGGCGACAAAATTTTTCTTCCAAATATTATATATAACTATGACAAACTTGAAACTAAACATTAAACTAAAATAATTTTTTATAAATTAATACAGATACTCGATAATTACTTATGTATGTTACCCATACATTCAAATAATAAGAATAAAATATAAGTTACATTACATGAAAAGCACTAAAATCACTCAAATTAATTTTAATAATATTAATAACTTTTTATTTCTTTCTTCAAAATCATTATTAACAAAGAAGGTTAGTATTTTGAAACTTTTAATAGAAATTATTTTAAATTTTGCATATATATTATTCATTTTACACAACTTTTTAAAGTATTATCTAAGTTTTTATATGTTAATATTACCTGCCGGTAAAAAAATTATATACAGTATACTGAGAAAAATGGATAATAGCTTAAAATACAAATTTGGCTTAGAAAACTAGATTGAGAAAAGGAAAAAAAAATTAATTTTAAAGATTTTCGATGCCCTTCAAAAATTACTTAACAGATCAAAATAAATATAATGATTAATATGTATATAAATTTAAAGAGTATATTTAAACGTTATAACGACAAATTATACAAAATGAAGTTATATTCTTATTGACTTTTAAATGAATCCCTTTATTATATTTTTTTTCAACATTATAAGTTAGTCTATAATTTATTTACTAACATTATAAGGTATTCACATATAGAAGTAAATAATTCTACAAAACTTAATTTGCGCAGGTTTATCTAGTATTTTATTTTATGTTTTTGTGAAAGTGGCATTTTTCATTAATTATGGATAATTTAAATATTTTGTCGTACATAAGAAGTTAAAATATAAAATAGATAAGTTATGTTTAAGTTTAGTGTGATGTGGCTGGCTAAACATTATCAATTGGTCCACCAACAGCACGTGTCAGAAGATTATTCGAGCATTTGGTATATGTACACAGGGATACACACAGCAGAGAAGTGAGTGGGTAGGCGAAGTGTTGGGTCGATGACTTTTTTGCTTTAATTTGAAGGCAAAGGCTTAAGCACCTTACCCTGTTGCCTTCATTGACAATGGTGAAGCTGCTTCTACTTCGTGAGTGTGAGTAGTGGATGATCACATGCAAAATGGTTGAGTGGGACCACTCCATGTTGTTCTGCTTGTCTAGTGGATTGCCCTTTTTCCATTCACGCCTATCTTCCAAGCGATCAATTATTTTATTCTAACAGCAAAATTTAAGTAATTTACTAAATAATCTCTGAAAATATTATTTTATTTATTTTTAATCTTTAAAAAGTTTTTTTTTCATAATTTAGTCATCAAACGTGTTAACTTGATTACATACAATTTAATCAAATTAATGATCCATAAATGTGTCATTCCATATGATTTTATTTATATTTTACTATAATTTTGCTTTTTATGAAAAAAATTAAAAATATGACTAATTTACAATTACATACGATTTCAATATATATATATATATAATTGTAAAAATTATATACACAATACCCGGTTTTCTTAACGTATATAGTGTAATTTGATAAATAAATAAAAACGAAATAAAATGGTGTAAAATTCAAATTATTTCAATGAATAAGGTAAGTTGCAAATTTGGAATGTATGAAATACTTGTGGAATTTTTCTTTTACTAACAGTATGTCGTAGACAATGTATATAATTTATATTTTTTAATTTCTTTTAAGAATATAAGTTGTATATTTATATAGACGAGTACTATTTTAAATAAAATTTAAAAAGGCCACATATATATTGTATATGACTTATGTATTTTAAATTAAAAAATGCATGACTGACGGATTAATGGAGAAGATTTTGTGCAGCAAATTTTAGAAACTCTTCCTTTCTTTTTTCATATTTATCACTTGTGTGTAGCATTTACACTACAGAGGAATCAAAATTACAGAAATTGGGATACCAATAATTTGACACCTTGCAATTGCAAGCCCACATCCTATTTGTATGATCCTATGTTATTTGAGAAAATTAGATTTTCAATAATTCTCGGTTAAAAGTTGCATGTTAAGTCTTGTGTTTTATACTTGACTAGAATTCGAAATTATTTTACATTAGTCTACAATTACAAAACTCAAATATTATATTATTTATTACAAGAAAGCACGCAAAAATAATTACCAAATTTAAATATAATATACAAGATTTAAAAGTTTACTCACTATTGAATGAAAAAGTTTCTTTTTAAATCGCTCAACTTAGATAATTTATGATTTAATACCATAAAAGTTAACCCATTATATTAAATCTTAAATAAAAAATTAAATTCTTACTAAAATTTAAATTTAAATAAAAAAATTTATTATAAAGTTCCTATTAAAAAAATAAATATTTTTTTGTAAGATGTGAAAAAGACATTTTTTTAAACATGAATTAATAATGACACCACAAATTTAAGAAAATTTTGAAAATATAACTTTTGTATATAAGGGCAGGATCTTCTTACACCAGTGTAAGTCTAAAACTCTTACACCCAATTTTAGTCATTCATTTAATTTATATGTAACGACTACACTTTATAACACTATTTGACTTACACTTAATGAATTTTAATTTATCACTTCACTAGTCTCACTCTTCATTTCTCTCTTCTGATGATACTCTACCTTTTCCTATTACCCGTCTTTTGCTTCAAACAACACAAGCTAACACCTTTGTAATCTTTCTATTATAGCAAGCTTGCACAAATAGTATCTCTTTATCATAGTAAGCTTGCACAACACGCAAGATAATGTGTTTGCTTATGATGTAAAGCTATAATTTATTTTAAATTTGAACAAAAATATATAAGTTATACTCACATATTATCTGTTGCTTTGCTTTTAAATGAAACAAAATGTAAATCAAATAAAAATATAAGCTTGCTTTTTTATTATAGGTATTGGATATTAAAAAAATTTTGTTTAAAATCATTCTTTGGTATATAAATTTTTAATTGTTCTCTTAGATTAAAAAAATTATGTTTACATCTTCATGCAATTTTGATAAAAGTCGTTGCGTTCTATTTTTTTTCTTAACTTTTTCATTTAAAATCAATCTTTGGTTAAAAAAAACAATGTTTACATCTTCATGCAATTTTGATAAAAGTCATTATGTCTCTTGTATTCTTGTTTTGAGAATATTAGAAGACGACAAAAAATCTCTCACACACACACTTCAATTGTAGAGGAAGAAACAAGAACTAATCAAGATGGATATTAGTTATTTCAAAATTTTGATTTGTGGTTGTAAAATTTATTATTTTTTATTCTGACCTGAGTCTATATACTCTCTTTAAATTTAGTAAAAAATATTTAAAAAGTAAAAGAAAAAAAAGACACAATAAACTCATTAAAAATTATTAATATTGTGGACTTTATATTGTAATTGCATTCAGCCCTTAGACAAATTTAAAGTAACTTTCACATCATTATATTAATCTAATAAAAATAAAATCCAAAAAATAATTATTCCACTTCACCTAACTCTTCCAACATGGTCACCTCTTTGGTACCATGTTTACGTACACTATGTTGTATATTTCTTGCAAGTTGATTGATAGTAACCGTATTCACCACATGATTTACATTGTCTCCTTTTAACTAAGGTCTTGTTTGTTGCCAATTCAAGAGCATTCTTATATCTTCTAACCATAGCCACTTTGTCAACGGACTTCTTTTTTCGTCCTTTTGTTTGTGATATGTAAGAGTCTTTGATAATGCAATTAGAGACATCATCTAAGGTTTCAAACATCAAATTTTCTTGGTTTGGCTCTAAAAAGGTCACGCTCGTTTCTGTCACCATTTTAGCAACATCGTTATAAACACAATCAAGATCAACCAAAATAAAGTTGTATGCATCTTTTGACTTCTTAGCCAAATCTAAAAATTTGCTTAATAAACTCTACACATGTATACTTCTCAAAACATCTAATTCATGATTTTAAATATCAATATCACCAACCTCAATACATTGATTGGCTTCTTTGGTCCAACGCTGCAAAATATACTGAGTAGGAATTTGAACAATGTTTTTTGCTTGAAAAATAACCAGAATATGCCTACACAGTATCCCCATGATTTCATAAAGTTGACAACCACATGTAGCATTCTTTGACTCCAAGTTTATATCAACAAGAAATGTATCTCGAGCATTAAAACAATTAGACACACGATATTTGTATTGCAAACCATTTTTCTCTACCTTCTCTTTTGTAAAATGAGTAACACTGACAAACTCATCATGAAACTTCCTGAACACATTTCTAGTATAGATTGACACAGTGTGCTCCTTAATTTTTGAGCCAATACTCAAAATGCGTGATTTGTGTCTAGACTTAAAATCTTCTCTTTTTTCAGCCTCGTACCGGTGATTGATTGCCTTTTCAAACTTCACCATAAAATCACAAAGTGTTGTGCTTGAATCAACAAAAGAGTCAAAAAAGGAATTGATGCTCTCACTCCTTTGCGTAGTATTCATACCAGCAAAAAAAAGTTCTTATATTATAAATCGGTATCCATGACTCTCTAATTTCATATAATCTTTGAAGCCACTCATTTTCTTGTAATTCACACACCACCATTATATGTTGCCAATCATCTTCAAAATCTCTGATAATTGACGATTCTCTAATGCACCTCTTAAGCTCGCGCTTGAATGAAGAATTCTTGTGATATATATGTGCAAGCTTTTCAGGAAACTTCTTTCTAATGTGCCACAAACATAATCGATGACGACTTTTTGGGAATACCTTGGCCACAACAGCTCCAATTGCTAAATCTTGATCAATTATTATAGACATAGGCTTCTTCCCTTTCATTGCCTCAAGCAAAGTTTCAAATAACCATATAAAAGATGTCTCAGATTCATCTTGTAATAAGGCACAACCAAACAAAATTGATTGAAAATGATGGTTTATTCCAGTAAATGGGGCAAATGGCATGCTATATTTGTTAGTTTTGTATGTCGTATCAAAGGTGATGACATCCCCAAAACACTCATAAACTAACCTTGATCTAGCATCCGCCCAAAATAGATTCATCATTTTAGCATCATCATCACATTGTATTGCATTGAAAAAATCAGAATTTTGAGCTTGCTTTTGTTTGCAACAATTTAAAACACCCTGTGCATCTCCAACATCCAAATTCTTGTTACGAACATTTCTCATATGATTCCAACAATCTCTATTGAAAAAAGATGAACCACTAGCATTGAATATAGAGACAACCTTTTCGGTGGGTAATCCTTCTTCATTAAACCTTTCAACAAGATTCTTTGCAATTGCATTCATTTTCCTATGACATCTAAAAAAGGACACGCTTTTAGGACTAGCCATGTCATGATTATGATTATTGTCAAACAACCTAATAACCCATACATCTCAATTCTTAACCTTTGACACAACAAGTAATGCTTGACATCCCATACTATAGTTGAACACTTTTTCTTAGCTTCTCCAATATTGCCATTTTTTTTTATCACCTTTCACCTTCCCTAACACATACAAAAATGCAATAATACTTTTTGCTTGACCGAATGCGAATCCCAAATCCTTTCATTTTGGCAAATAATTTATAAAAATCCTCAACTTTTTTCAATGAGTCAAATTCCATACCAACATGAGGCTCAACATTAAGTTCTTCAACAGAAGATTGTGAAATATGTAGAGGTTCAGAATTCATTACCACTTCATTCCTTGAACTGAGATTAGTCTCCATATCCATTTGAGTTAAATCAACAGGGTCCAAGTCGATTATTTATTAACCTACAAAATAACACGATAATAAGTGAAAAAATTAAAATAAAATCCAATACCTATAATAAAAAACCAAGCTTATATCTTTATCTGATTTACGTTTTGTTTCGTTTAAAAGCTAAACAACTGATAATATGTAAATATGACTTATATATTTTTGTTCAGATTAAGCAACATAGTAAAATGAATTATAGTGTTACGTCACAAGCAAACACGTTATATTGTTGCATAAGGTGTTGTGCAGGCTTACTATGAGAAAGAGATACTATTTGTGCAGGCTTGCTATAAGGAAAAAATTACAAAGGTGTTAGCTTGTGTTGTTTGAAACAGAATACGGGTGATAAGAAAAAGTAGAGATACTATTTGTGCAGGCTTGCTATAAGGAAAAAATTACAAAGGTGTTAGCTTGTGTTGTTTGAAGCAGAATACGGGTGATAAGAAAAAGTAGAGATACTATTTGTGCAAGCTTACTATAATAAAAAGATTACAAAAGTTTTAGCTTGTGTTGTTTGAAGCAGAAGACGGATAATAGGAAAAAGCAGAGTAAGAGAGAGAAATGAAGAGTGGGACTAGTGAAATAATAAATTAAAACTCATTAAATAAGGTAAGTGGGAGAGAGAAATGGAGTATAAGTCAAATAGTGTTATAAAGTGTAGCCGTTAGATGTAAGTTAGATGAATGGCTAAGATTGAGTATAAGAGTTTTAGACTTACACAGTGTAAAAAGATCCTACCCTTTGTATATCAACTTATTAAGAATTACTCTCTACTAATAAATACTACAATATGTTAAAGATATGCATAATATTAAAGTATTCAATACACAGCGAGTATCCTACGCCAATTTAAGTAGGATTGTACCAAATTGAACATTGTTCCTCACTAATAAATAATATATCTTTTTACATATTTATATAAAGGAAAAACAAAACTAATATGAAAAAAAAAAGGACGTGAATAAGGCCCAAGAGAATTATTGGAGCTCCCATGAATGAAAAATATGATTTGATCATGAAGACACTTCAACCAGGATTGGTCATTGCATAATATAAAGGAAACGAGACTTCGACCGTCACTGCATCTGTCATGACTATAAGGATAATATTGGAATTACCAATAGTGGTAATCGTAAAAAAAATAACATTTTCGATAAATATAACGTTGTGCACTAATTGGATCAGGATTGACAGGGGCTTCAAGGTAACATGACCCTATCACAGTGAGTTACTTTACACCATTGGGTCATCCCCCTAGCTAACCCCAAGGTTCTCCGAAAACCTGACACATGCATCTTCATGATGCATGACAATCAATTTAATTAATTATTATTTTTTTACTTTACCATAACAAATCTACTTAATATTTTTCCATTCCTTTGAGGATTTTATATTCAATTAGATCATTGTATTTGTGCCAATCAGGGTATATTTCTTTGTTGATAATTCTATGAATTTCACAACAATTGATCCCACATCGAGATCCTCGGTCCATATTTCATATACAATTTTTATGTCTCTCCTTATTCTAGGACTCATCTTTCTTGCAACTTGGAACACACCATTAACTAGAATATTATTATATCATTGATTAACTTAGTAAAGTTTAGTTGATTGCCATTTTAAGGGATTGTGTATGTTATTTAGAGGTCATTATTATCTTAAGGCTCACCAACTTAATTTACCTATTTCCTTCCTATTAATAATCCTTTTTTTTTCCTTTACTCCTCTAATACCTTTCTTGGTTCTTTTACTACAGTTGAGATGACATGGTTAATTGTTCACATGCACATATTCTACCTTATTTTCAATTATTTTTCACAACTTCCCTTACCCTTACTAAGTGCAACTCTCCCTATTAATTCATATCTTAAGTAATTCTTGGCTATTTCCTATTATTTTGGCTATGCATAATTTAAGCATGTTAAATTTCATTTTATCCTTTTCTTCCTTGGTTCCTTACATTACTTCAAGGGATATAACTTAGTAACACATTCACTTTCTCTTAATTCCTCCTCTTATGTTTTAGAGTCCCAAGGCTAAGACATTCAAAACACATAAGGAAAAAATATAACATTTTTAGGATTGTCTTTTTATTAGGGTCGAACTAGTATCACAACACTTATCCAAGAATTTTCTAAGGCCAAACCAAGACCAATAGAATCACGCAACGGAGAAACAAAGGAGTTTCCTTTCTTTTTATAAGCAGAGCCACATATAACCACTACACACTCAAGCATTCCACAAAATTCTAATTTTCATGGTTGTTCTAATACTCCTTAGGCAATTAAGTGGACTCCCCTTTTTATATTCACTAAGTCGAGTAACATAAGTCTTACCTTGTAGTTTCACTTAACTTAGTAATCAATCACACTATTTCATACACATATATACACCACAACAACATAAGCAAACATATCAATCTCATTTTTTTAAACACTTGTCTATAAAATAAAAAGAATAAGGAATTCTCAAGATTTTTCAACCATACACAACGCAACTCATCCCCTATTCTTTTGATCCATTGGAGAAGGGTTATTATGTATTCATTGCTAAGGAAACAAAACAAAAAAAGAGTGAGTAAATCATTCATAAGTTACATTATAAGGTAATACTAATTGCTTAATGAATAAAATATAACTATTAATCAATTCACAAATCAAACAAGCATTGTAGTATCTTTTATCTATATTTTTCTCTATAGAGTAATTAATTATCCAACATTATTAATCTCAGGTTAAAGATTAAAAGTTTTACATATATAGTTCGACTAGTGTCATAAGTACATTGTCCCTTACGGAAAACATTAATGTTAGTGTACAATTTCCTTTATGGTTACTCTTAATAGCACACACTCACACCAATCATGTAATAGCACAATTCCCACCTCTTATGACACAAGTTAGCCAAACTTGGTATCTTATAGTACTTGGGTACTTAGATATCCCCTATTATTTTACTAACACTATTTGACTTATGCTTGTACCTAGCATTTTCAACCACTTTCTTTGTGAAATTAATGCACATTTACAATCACAATCACAAACAATTTACAACTATTACCTTATTTATAATGCTCTTATTTTATTATTCAAATTTTTTAAAATAATTTATAACAAAGAAAAGAAAATCAAACAAATTTCTTTATATTTTAGTGGGAAAATTTTATGAAAATTTTTAAACTTTTACTCTTATTATTCAATTTAAAAAAAAAAAAACCTTTGATGATATACACAATGGTAAACAAAAAAATATGAGTAAATATTTACTATCAAATTATACATTGTTAAACGAAATCACACTGGAGCATTAAAGAAACATGTACATTAGATATTATTTAAATACAAAAGTTTAATACGTACAAGTCATTACCAAAATATATTAAGACTTAATTTACATAATTACAATATCAAAATATACTAAGTCATGTAGAACAATCTATCTCCACACTAAAATACTGAGAATATAATCCTAGTCGTCATCCTCAAATTAGCCCTCTATCTCTTCTAACTTTTCTGGTGGTCAAGTCTTCTTCATAGAAATTTCTAGCGTATGCAATGACCTATGTGCCAGTCACCTGTTCTCGCGTAAAATTGACTAGTCTTCAATGATGATCGTGATTGTGGAAAGTATAAACATAATTTGCAGCCTCTAATGTACGAACTATCCCCCTATAAACATATAGGTTAAGGGTATGGTGGATTATACCACCAATAGGGTATGAAAAGGGAATATTGTACTCTATAATGATTTCTACTATAATTACATTATCAGTTCCATGTTCATTATTTATTACAAGTTTATGGTGGTAAACTCTCTACCACTCTCTAAATACATAATTTAACCTATTTTCTATAGTACACTCAATTAGTTTAAAGGATCTCTAGGAGGTAGTCATCCTTGTTCCTTGAAAATATTAGTTAGGAAGAGTTTTTTCCTCACCACTGAATCAAGACTAAAATTAATTTATTTATTTCAACACACACATTTAAAATCACATTCAAATTAATTCATAACAATAAGTCTATTAACCATATCACTAATATAATACAATATTTTTCATATATTGTTATCACATTCTATTAACACTCTTATTATTCTTTGGGCCCTTATTTCAACCAATCATTGCCCCTAAGATCCTTTAAGGTTTTCCACATGTGTAGATAGTCGCTAGTTAGCCATAACAACCTTTTTTAGCAAAAAAATGATCAGGAGTTTAGGTTAGGAAATGATTGAGGCCTATGATGTTTTCGTACTCATTAACTACACACAATTAATTAAAGACATTCACCACTCTAAATTTCTCCTAAATTTTCTAAATCACCTCTGTGTTCCACACTGCTAGTAAATCTATGTAACTATCCATACATATTATTATTACCTTTCATAATAACACAACTTTAATCCTCTTCTTTTCTCAACATAATAAAATTTTACTCTCTTTATTTTCTCATCATAAAATCATGTAATTATGCCGAAGGTCGAACACCTCCGGACTCAATCTAAAACGTATATTTTCAATACATATATTTTATATCATTCAGAGAACAAACAAGTATATATTAATCCATTCATTACTTTAAACAAATAACTAGAATCTCAAGTACTCAGAGAAATTATTTCTAAAATAAAAAAGAGTACATATCATACAAATGAACATATATATATTTAAGATTTCATTGATGGACAGAGCTCTCATTACCTTAATGAGAAGATTTGTTAAAAAGGTTTGTGGAAGATATTGTCCAAAAGATTAAGCTATTCCTATATATTCACTAGTAGCATACCATATCTAAATGGATTTTCGTAATTTTTCTACCATATGTACTTTCCCATATAGATGATGTTTTTCCAAAATAAAACTTTGTTGTTCAGCATATTGAACTAGTCATCCTTTATAAGGTATTGTTAAAAGATCATCAATTCCTAATGAAATGGATGTAGCCGTAGCTTAATGGTATCCCAAAGTCTTT